AACCCTAAACCATATAACCCCTATAAGAACCTGGTTGAGCCCAGCCTTGCCCTGGCTTGGGATCCGCGCCACGGCCGCGCGACCTTCGGCCACGGGGATCCCAAGCTCGGCCCAGATCTGGGCCTCAGGGTTCTTAGGTTCCTTTAAGGGTTTAGGGTTTAGGGTTTAGGGTTTTAGGGTTTAGGGTTTAGGGTTTAGGGTGTAGGGTTTATGAGTTTAGGGTTTGGGGTTTTTGGATTTGGGGTTTAGGGTTTAGGGTGTTAAAGTGGGGTTTAGGGGACATGTGGGGATATGAAGGGACCTACAGGGATATGTATGGATACAGAGGGCAATACAGGGGCATGCCGATTGATGTAGATTGTTAAGGGTCATATCAAATGTGTCGGGTTGCACAGGGACACGAAAGGACATGTTCGGATACATAGGGACGTACAAGAATGCAGTTTTTTAGGCGTTTGGCATGTCTAGCATCTAGCACTTAGGTTTTGGGACTTTAAGGCTTTAGGGATTCAGTTGCAGGTGGTTGAAGGGGGTTTACGGCTTAGAGATTTGGAGCCTAGGGTTTGAGGGGAGGCTGTGCAAAGTTGCAACATCAAGGCGGTGCAGGGTACATTAGCAGATGCTAAAAATCAAAATACGCGTAGGGCCTCAAGACCGTGCAGGAATTTGAACGAAGAAGGAAGGGAAGGATTGTATAGGGAGAATACCAATGAGTGGAGAGGGAGAAGGTTAGAATTAAAAAGAAGTCTACAAGCACTCATTTTGTCGAGCTGATAGGAGCTTGTAAGAGCTGCTTGAAACCATATGACATGGCCTGCAGAGACTCTTTTTTTAGAAGGCCCTAGCTTAGACCCCCCACGCTGTAAGAGTGGTATACTAGGAATATAATGGGGCTCTAATAGAATCCTTGTTGTCCCTTATAATCATTTTGACAAGGTGGGTGGGGGGTCCTCCTAAGCCCTAGCACACTAGCTAGGGCTTCTGCCTTGCAGAGTTTTTTCAACTCCAGGGGAATCTGTGTCATGCTGCTGCTCTGGCCAAATGCATCCTCCGGAAAACCCATAATCCCCGCACTTTGGAGTGAGTTTACGGTTTAAGGAAATCATAGGAAAACTGATCATTATTCTTATTGTTATTGCTATTATCATATTTTCAGGGTTCAGGGTTTAGGGTTTAGAGTTTAGGTCTCCCGCCTGGATGTCGGCTAGGTGCTTCCCCGGCCTGGACGGCATTCTTCTCATTTCGGGGGGGGGGTCTTTCATTCAGGCTCTCTTCGGGCGGAACCCACGTGACGTAAAA